GATTTTTTTGAAAACTGTTGTAAGTTGTAGATACTTGAAAATTTTACCAGTTATTTAGATTGGCATTCTCTTTACATGATTTAATTTTCAAAAATGTTTACTTTTGACCTATATAATGCACCAAGGATATTCACTTTTACATCGGAAACCACTCCCAAAGTTTGAAATTGTAAAATCAATACATTCATCTCTTCGTTCAGAATCTAAAAAATCACAGAGCCATTTTTAATTGAACACCTTCAAAATTTTTTTACATTATTTTAATAGATATTAAATGATGATGATGATGGATGGTTGGATTTATTTATAAGAGTAGAAATATACAATCATATATAGCGATAAGTGGTGTTATTTTTTTGAATTTATATGAGCAATATATCTATGTTTTGTATTTTATATTTATTAATCATAGTCTAATTGCTTAATATTAAAATATTAGTCTCTAATTAAATTTTCAAAATATTTAGAATCTGCACATTCACGTCAAACTTCAATAGTAAAGTCGAAATAAATAATAACTTWAATATAAGAGGAGAAAATCAAACATGAGTTGTTTAGTGTAATGACCAGCAGTCGACACTGCGCTGACTATTTGAATACATAAATATAGATGTATCTTTTAATCATTTGATTTTACCCGTAGTCGATCCTGTAGTCTGCTATTTTATATAAATCTTCATTCACGATGTTCTGTAAATTAGCTTGGGACAACAAAGATGAATATCAAATTTAATAGTATAATTTATTAAATTAAATTCTAAGGCTTTAGTTTTAATTTTTCTATGTATAGTTGTAATGATAAGTACAATAATGTTACATTCTATATCTAGAGAATGTCTCTTAGTGACTATTRTTAGTTACTATATTTTTAGTTAATATATTACTATATTTAGTAGTCATTATTATCTGCTCGAGTAGGTATTAGGTAATATGACTAGAAGTGGTGGTACTTGTAGATCATTTCCAAAGCCTCGATTTAATGACACAACTGGAAAAACTTTACAAATTATGTGGAAACTAAGTAACGTGCATAAAGTTGTAGTAAGTTATTAGGAAAAAGTTTTTGAAAAATATGCAGGCACAAATATAATTTTTTTTTATTATTAAGAGTAAAGGCTTCGACAGCAAAAGTCATTAGCCTGTAAGGCTGTWAAAGTTTCACATTGTACAATATTAGTGTTCGATAGCTTAGATGTATTTCCACATGGTTATATACACAGAAAATATTKACAATAATAGTTTATAATTGATTGGATAGATTAGTGGCAAGGAAAAAATTAAATATTACATCAGTATTATTGGTCCAAGTGCTTCTTCGATGTTGGTGGGGTGGTTTAATATGCTTCGTTCATAATTGTATTTTTTGCAGTGGAGTGTGAGGTGTTCAATAGTCAGTGGTAGGTCACATTGAAGGCAGGWTAGCTGTTCTTCGTGGTTGAAAAGGTAAAAATGGGTGAGATGTGTATGACCAATTCTGCCTCTTGTGGTKACAATGTCTACTTTTCGGGCTGTGTTGGTGAGAGTTCGCCATTTCTGGATGGTTTTATTTATTTATTGTTAAAGGTGGTGCCCCACTGGAATTATTCTTGATACCTAGGTCTTTGTATAGTAGCGAATTTATTACAGTTGATTCGGCTGATGATTGATGATGACTTGGTTTGCAAGTGTGTCGACTTCTTCGTTACCTTTGATACCAGTGTGTGAGGAGACCCACATGAACTCAATAGTATTTGTAGAGTTAGCTATAACGTTGATTATTTGTTGAGAGATTTAATTAGATGGTTTGRAAGATAGTAAAGAATTTAAGGCGTTATTTAAGTCGCTTATGATAAGTGGTTTGTTAATGTGGATGGATTCAACGTAGATAATTGCTTTTCTGATGGCTATCATTCTTGCTGTGAAGATACTTTCAGAAGGTAATTTAAACAGTTTTTTTTACAGATCCTGAAATGAATGCGCAGCCTGTGCTTGTTGTATTTTTTGATGAATCTGTGTAAATAAGGTTAAAGTTATAAGTGATAATAAATAAGGATTTGAGTTTTTGTTAA